GGGCATTCATTAATTTTATTATTTTTTCTTACACATTTTCTTTATAGATGTAGTGGAACACAGAAGTAAAATGGTGAAAACGTCATCTCTTTCGTTGCTTGTGTTCCTGTTGCTAATCCAATGCTTGTGCAAAATAGCAAAGAGTACAGAAGGTATGAAGAGTGTCCAGAATAATGTGAAAACATAACTGAAGGTTGTTTTTATTATTTGTTTTATTATTATTGTGCTGCATTTTTAAAATGTATTTTAATGTACAAAACAATAGCTAAAGTGTATACGTACAGTGCAAAACATGAATGACACTTGGGACCAGATTCAGAAAAAAAGCTGTTTCATTCATTACTCTGTTCAAACACATATTAATTATTTCTGGAAAGACATTGTGGCATATATATTTTCTACAATCCAAATAATATATTAAGCATATTTTATAAAGGTAGTAGGCCTTTAAGCTGTTGGGCAGAATTTCGATTGTTAAAGGAACACTCCAACCATTACAACCTGTTCTTAGCACTCTAGTCAATAAGATAATCCCGGGGCCACTGGACTTAGTCCAGTGCAGGTAGATCCCAGAGGCACAGAAGGTGGTGACTGGTGACCAGCACACTCCAGGTGGATTGACAAACAGTTCTCATACAGTTTGACTACTTACCCAAGGAGTATGCCAGGGCACCTCTGGCACTATAACAGCTGTAGTGGGCTGAGGTAGTTATGGTGGTTGAAGTATTCCTTTAAACCATCTCAATGACTAATGCACTTTCGTGTTACTACTAAAAATTTACCCATACTGTCAATATAGGTACAACGAACGCTATTTGACAATACTTTTATACCACTTACATGCCCTCTACAATAACTAGTTCTGTAAAAGCACATACAAAATGTAGAATAAATAAATACATTTTGTGCCCACGCATGGCATATGATGGTGTAATACAATTAAAATCCAGACACTATTGTCTAAATATTTCTAAACCTTATTAATATCTCAATTTTTTTACCTCTCACCCAACAAGGATATATATATTATTAAATTATTAAACATTTATTTGGAAGTTGCACACAGTATACAAAATTGCTCACACTACACAAAACACACATACGTATATTTACACAATATATAGCATTACATACGAGCATTCTCACTTTGTACTGAGGCAGCACTAAACTAGATAAAAACCACCACCCTTAATTCTAGCATTCCTATCTACAAAAACTGAATAGGTCTAGCAGCCCTGTTTAGACTTGTCAAAGTCATTGGAATAAAAAGAGTGGACTTATTTGTTCATGACTGGTGAGTGCAAACCTTCAAGAAGATTTCTACATTCCTTAAGAGCCATTACTATAAAGAGTAGACCCCTAGTCTCCATGTCATAATTTCTCTCAACAGATGAGAGTTTGTATGAGAAATAGCTACAAGTATCGATGGGTTTGTCTGGACTTTTTTGTTGAGACAGAATAGGTCCTAGTTTTGCCTCGGAGGCATCAACTTCTATGACACAGGGGTAAGTAGAATCAGGATGAACCAAAACAGGAGCAGTATCAAATTACTTTTTTAGAGTGTGAAAAGCTTGTAATGCAGCTTAAATCCAAAATTTGGAACTCCTTTCTTTGTCAAAGTGGTTCTATAATTGTGGGAGGTGCTTGGTATCCACTCCCAGCCTACTTAAGGCACACCCCTTACCTTGCTCCTTACCGTTCGAGGTCAGTGTTGAATGAGGATCCACTTCCGGGTTCTCTCAGACGCCATCTTGGTTTTTCAGTATCCACAAGGTTTTTCCGCAGCAAGCTGTGTCCAGGAATCCTGTTCAGGCCTTTTCCGTCCGTCCAGCTTCTTCTGACCCCGGTCATCATCATAGATCGCGTCCCAGGGACTCCTAAACTGTATCGTACGGTATAGCACGGGTCCTCGCTTAAGTTTTTTTCCCTGTTATGTCACAAATTGTACAAGCCGTTCGCGGTTTTCATTCGTACGATCATTCAACTAACCAGTATATTCATATAAGTGGTCATTTCACATATAACTATTCCATGTTACAGTAAAACAGGTTATCATTTCGGTTGTTTTGCAGTTCGGCACTTTTTCATGATACGCTCAAACACACTTGCGGTTCGCATAAAATTCATACGTTTAAACTATTCATTCCAACTTCTGTTTTCCCTCACATTGGGTTTGCGGTTTTATTTCTATGTATTACGCATAATCCGTTCGTGGATTACAATTACCATTTCATGTATATACCATTCGGTTAACGAATTGCTTGGTTAAATGGACAGATTATTTCTATTACTGTTTAAAGGTATCAGTATTGTATTATGCCCATACAAAACCAAGCTCACTTATCTGTATAGATCATTTTGACTCCCACTCTTTCAGGGGTCTGCCATACTTATCCATTCATTCAAATGGACTCAGCCTACATTACAGGCCTCATTTCTGTGTTATAACTACGACACATACATAAGGATACAGTTTCCTTTTACAAGCAATAAATTCTCTGGTTGAATCACGTACTGATCCAACCAATAATACCAAGTCTTTTTTCAATACAGATATATCATATATATATATAACTTTACATCACTTTAAGGCATTTTGTGTATCCCTGCCCCTTTTTTGTTCTATTACATATCATACATAACGCTGTTTAAATATAGGCCACAGCCTTCCTCATCCATGTTCTTTTCTACTTGACACCATTATATATTCCCCACTGTTTTATACAGAACTGTGCATTAAAGACACGGCATCACTTTGCCTTGGTAACACATTTATACTCTCATGGTATATCACTACACTTTACCAAGTAATACGCCAATCAAGCCTTAAAAAAACATCACTGGTACGGGCTTCATTCCCACACAGTCCACACTCACTATACTACTCTCTTTTACCCATTTTCAGGCTGTCCAGGTTTAAATAGATATTTCACCACACGGTTTCCTGTGAGATATTCATACTACCAGGTACGTACACCTGCTCATATGGTATTCTGCCATACATTTCATTTCTCCCCCCTAGGTTAGAGTACTGGCAATAGGGTCATAGGCTTCCCAATAGGTATTTTCCCCTTCTTGGCATTGCCATCAGTTAGTGGTCCCGCGAGGTCAACACCCCGCTTCAACGTTTCAGAGCAAAAACCCATCGGGCCACACGTCTCGCATGTTGCATAGAGAGGGCCTCACCTGTCACTCCCTTTCCCTGTTTTCTAAGTTACAGTCGCCGAGAGGCCTAAAATTCCTGCCACTACGACGGGTGGCCTCAAATCCCCTCGCGCCAACGCATAGATAGAGCCTCTCAAGCCACTTGGCAACTAGTAGGGCCTCACCTGTCACCAAACAAGTGTAATGTTTCACCATCCGGCTTAGCCAGCCTGCCATTTATTTCCTTTCTATTTCTTTTTCCTGGGTAGGCCCTCTTCTTTCTCAGGCATACCTCATCGACGGTTCTGGCACACCACAACCGACTTGCCCTTTTTACTATCCTACATTTAATTATGGTATTTTACTTTGTACTATCATGAGCACCTAACACAAATATATATATATATATATATATATATATATTGATATGATATGATATCATATGATCTATAAAAATTGATTTTTTTTTTACTGCTTTCTCTCTTCCTTTTCCTTATTGTTCTCTTCTTACTTGATCTTTGAATAAAACTGACATTTAGTGTCCGTCCACTAGCCATCAATTATCTATCATTTTGGTGCCATAGGCATAAACATGCTCGACCATTGAACGATTATTTTGGTTCATGGTTCATTCTCCTTTCTTCGTGGAAACAAAGGAGACCTCAACACCATTAAGAGGTGAAGACAGTCTTATGAATCTGTATGCAAGGGGTTCTTGAATTTACTCCTTCATTATCATATTTTCATGTAGTGACACAAGGTTAGTGCCTAGCAACATTTTAAAGATTTTTTTCACAATCATAGGTACTGTGCAGTGGCAATTTGTGTATCTTTTTCTTATAAAACATGTTTCAGGTACTGAGGAGGTGCACTAGTAGGGAAAGAGGCTGCAGTAGACAAATTCTAAGCACACACAGGAGACAGCAGACAAACAAAACCCCATGCACTTTACCCCAAGAAGTTACTTCTCAATTTTGCCAATCAATAGCAGTGTTATGCCTTGAAAGCCATGTTAAATTAAGAACAATAGGGCAGGTGGGAGAATAGATAATGTGTTGTAAAATCTATTTTCTATGAAGCAGTCCTACCTTTACCTCTTCGCCCCATCAAGCCAAACTACATAGGCTATCATGCTGGGAATGCAGTAGGGAAGCATTACAGAATTTGGGGGCCAACTTAAGCAACTGAAACCATATCTGACTTAGATAATTTTTCCACTTCAGCTATTTTATTTGAAATTCAGTTTGAATTCTCACTTTTGTGAATAACGCTGTAATGAAATATAATTTTTATTTCCCTGCCCTTCTCTCTTCTGATTATAGATAGCATATTATAGCATATTATGAGCTATGCGCAATGGGCACTGGGAATGACTTTAGTGGTTATGACCACGTGTATAGATGTCTGTTAGGAGAGTGTGTGATTTACAGTGTAGTGACCATGGCATGGTAGATGAATGGGTTGCAGTCACCCACTCATCGAGGTATAATAGGAGATAGAGGACTAGACGCTCAATGGTCCGCATTTGAGTGGTTAAGTAGATGAGTGGAAGCCTCATTGAGGTAATGGTTCGCTGCCTAGGATATGGATATTCATTCTCTGTTTTCTTATATAAGGGAATTCTTGATTCACCTACGGTGATAGCATTTATAGATGATTTTATTGAAGATTGTATTCTGCTATCCAGTTAAGGGGTGGTTTCATCTCTTTATTTTCTCTCAGAATTTCTCTCACTAGATTTCTATAGTCTATAGCAAGCTTCCCCAAATGCCGACCCTCCAGATGTTGCTGAACTACAACTCCCATGATTCTCAGCCTAAATACTAAACTAACTAGCTTGACACGCGTTTTGGCGTGTCAGCACACCGTCGTCAGGAGCAATATCAAAATGCTCTGGCCACCAATGTCTGTTTATATTGGTCCTATCAACATTTGTGGCCAGAGCATTTTGATATTGCTCCTGACGACGGTGTGCTGACACGCCAAAACGCATGTCAAGCTAATTAGTTTAGTTTGGTTTTCTGCAATTTTAGCACTAGGTAGCACTTATGCACTTTTATTTATTTATTAATTTATTTATTTTTGGTACAGAAAGGATGAGAGGTTATGGTATGCACTAATGATTCATTCACAGTGCCGAGGTAATATAGGGATATGAGAGTGCTTATGGTTTTTTTTTTCTCTGGGGTAATTTACTCCTTACTCCTAGCCTCCATACCCCCACCTCTTATTTGTACCTGGACATTAATAATTTACTCAGCATTACTATAGTCATACAGGTGCATGGTCCTATGTCTTGATAAACTGCATTTGGGCTGCATATGGGACCCCCTCTTAGCAGATTGCATCTGGACATAGGTATCTGCACTTTACTGCATAGGAGATATATTTTTTCTGGGGACTTGTCGGTCTTCTTGGCCTTTGTGCCATCTGCCCTTATTTATTTATTTTTTCTTTATTGGGCACCATACTGGTTTAGTGCAATTTATAGTCCCACAACCACTCGGTGCCTTTTGGTTTAGTAAGGTGGTGCCTCGGCCTCTATATACTCCCAATCTCCTACTTCCCTCCCCCATATAGTGGTGGGATATTTATATTTATATTCTGGTATTTTAGCAACTAGCTGTCTCTCACTCTGTCCTGTCTTAGGTTTTTATACTATTGTTTTCTCCTTTAGGTTCAATAAAGGTAGGGCTTACTTTTTTGTTTTTTCCTCTTTCCTTTTTGCTAACTCTTCCACCAGGACACTCCAGTCCAATCCTCTCTTAAATTAGACACATTATGTAGAGTTACATCATACCCATCACTGTTTAGTAGATAGTTCCCTAATTTGCCTAATACCTAATACCCTTAAAGGCACACTCCACTGCCTAAATGGGCAACATATTTAAAATCATGATTTAGTAGATATACCCCAGTGAATACATCCATGCATTGTTCATGAATGTTCTCATGGGGGGAATATCTTAAAAGATCTTGCAAAAGCTTCATCAAGGGAGAGTATCTTCACACTCTGAATGTACCGCATGTACCATAAGCTGTTGACCTATTTAACATCAATGACTACTGACTTTGTACATATTTCGTGCCCCAGACTGACAGATGAGCTCTTCGCATCACTGATTTCCAGTAAGATAATTTTTGTCTTTTAAGGTGGATAAAATAACAACTTGTTATTGTTTTTACCTACAGATGATCAATGGAAAAAAAAATAGTTTTCAGTGCCATAAATGAAATTATTTGGTGTTTACATAACAGTGAACTGTGACGAATTGAAAACTGAATTGCAATATTCAGTGGACACCCCCTCCCTCCCTTTTCTAGGCCCGTCTGTCACTTTTTCTGGGCAGGCCTTACTCTTTTTTAGGCGGATTTTGAGTTGTGTCACTGGTGAATACCGCTCTCAGGCCAGTCCACCTATCCCATCCTTATATGTTCTTATATTGGGGGTATGTGCATCTGTTATTAAAGTGTGATTATGAAAGTTAAATGCAACCCAAACCAATGTTCCAGATTGGGAAAAATGTACTCTCCATTATGTAGCATCTATAAATCCATCCATTTATCCACCCATCTTGTTTTAAAGGTAAAATGTGTACTTTAAAAAGTAATAACAATAGGGGAGGGAGCTGAACGCCGAACGGAATGGCCTCATGATTCCGGAGTTCCATACACGGCCGACTAAATAGCAACAATAACTCGACATAAACTCCAGAAGACCGAGCCCAACAGCATGTCTCATAACAGAAGCAAGCAGAAGGGCAACAAATCAGCCTTTTTTGCCGCAAGGAATCAATTGAAAACTACGACGCTACGGGAATGCCCAGAAGATGGCGGCTGCAAGTCGGAAGACAGCCGCAACTCGTGCTCAATACTCCCTTCAAAGAATGCTGAATGCTCAATCGGCGCAACTGTTGTCTCAATTCCAGGCCTAAAGAAAGAAATTCAGGATAAAGGAAACATAACAGCACAATTCGAAACCAGAGCAGATGATCTAGCAGAAGCGCATAACTCTTTGGTGGCAAGAATGCAACAGGTAGAGTCACAAATGGCACTACACGACACCAAAATGATGGATCTGGAAGATCGTTCCCGCCGGAACAACCTAAGGCTCCGGGGGCTCCCGGAGTCCATACAGGTGGGCGACCTGCAAGCTTATGCAACGGGCCTCTTTCAAAGCTTATGCCCTGACATCCCGGCCAAGGTGTTCTTGTTAGACTGGCGAAGGTAGGGGCTGTGCTGCTACAACACCCAGAGATGTGCCCCTTCAGGCAAATTACCATCATATTAAAGAGAAAATCTTAAGGGCCAGTAGAAACACAAAGGAGATGGTGGATAAATATAAGGATGTACAAATTTTTTCAGATATCTCACCAGCTACCCTGGCTATGAGACGGAGCTTTAATATTGTGACCAGAGGTCTGCGAACACACCACATACCTTACAGGTGGGGTTTTGCCACAAAACTTCTGGTAAGCAGAAATGGGCAAACAATCCCCGTCTGTAGCCCAAATGAGGGGATACAACTACTACACAAATGGAATATAAATCCCACGAATGCATCGGGGTCACAGAACAAACCGCAAAGGCTAACTCCCGAATGGAAAAGAGTGCAACGTTGAAGGCTGCTTGACTCCTTGCAGTTCTCCAATGATCTGGCCCCTCCTGGTACATATGACTATCTAAAACCAATGCTGTGGATGAACCTTCTTTTTTAAGGCACTGATGAAGTGCAATGTTTTACATCCCTCCCAAAGAGGGATACCTGCTCGGAAGAGCCTAGAGTCCATTAGCACAGACCACAGCATGACAAGGACTCTGAACCTGTTCACGAACGGAAAGACAAGAACTGAATATGTCCCTGTCTACCTACCTGAGGAACTCTCCAACAATGGCACCAGGAATTGACTAACCAAGCACAACCTGACACTGCCTGGACTTGTAAGCATGCTCCCACAGTCAAGTACGCAAGATTGTTATGGTATTGCGGAGAAGTGGGAGTTGCCAGAATTTGTGCGGAGGAATAACTACCTCTCCAACAAGTCTTATTGGCATCGGTAGGGTGCAATGTTTTTACTTCTCCCACGAAGGGGTGTAAGACCCAGCCTGACACCCAGTCTGGAGCAAGTACAACACCATCTTGAGAGGGACATTGTCCTGGGGAGTAGAGTCCCAGACACCTACACTCCTGGTATGTATAGAGGAGGTAACAAGGGGAGGTAACAGGGATCGGGTGAGGGGCATAACAGGTGGGCCCGTGTGCTCATGTGCTACCACCAATAGGAGGTCATTAGTGCAACCTATACGTTTTGGTTTTCCAGACACTATACCCCCCAAAAAGGGTACTCAAGAGGGAAGCAGCTTCCTGAGGGCATCGAATTGGGGGACAACTGTTGGGGAGTTTTGCAGGGAGTTTAGCTTACAGACTATGTTACAGTTAGTTTTCTGGTTAATATATGATTGCTATATAAAACTAAGAAGGTAAATATGTATCACTGCTATGGTCCGCTTGTACGGAGTGTGGCACGTTCAGTACTTTCACCTGAACAACCCCCAAGGGAACTAAGTGACATACTCGGTACATCCAAATTTAGATTTAATTTGCAGGCAAAGTTGGCTGACTCTCGTTGGATCAGCCGATTGTTGTATGTAAATGATGGTTCATATAGAAATGTAGTGTAAAATACACCACCTAGTGGAGCGCTAATACAAATATAAGTGATAGAGGGGTTCACTTACCCCAACAATTTTGTGTTGTCTTAAATTCAGGAATATGCTTTTAAACATACAATGAAGTGAACAAAGAGATAAAAACATATAGTGTAGATGGTTTTGGTGAAAATTAGTGATGAAAGTAAAAAACTGAAACCACTCACATGGTCTGGAGCCTATATAATATTGGCTCCGTACATAAGCCTATGTGCTCTTTGGGCAGCAACACACCCCTTCCTCTGAGATGTACCTCCACAACGACAAGGAAACAAAAGGAGAAAGAGACCCAATGGGTGGTATATGTGCAAACAGGCAGATAAAATATTGGTGGTAAATGTTATGCTCACCTAGTTGAGAGCCTTAAAATCCTGGCTCTAAGGGTGGTCAGCGATGTGCCAGTATGAAGGGATGGCACTTCCCTGTAAAGATTCCCAGAGGCTCCAAGAACTTCAATGGATAAGGAAAGTGTATTGATTCCAAATAAAAAGTAAATATAAAACCTGAAATTTGGAGTATAAATATTGTAAATAAAAGTCCAAATAAAAGTCCAAATCAGCCAAAACGCATTTCACTCGTGTGTGAGCTTCCTCAGTCAGCTGTGAGATCACAGCTTCACCCACCACCTATGTAAAGAGGTTTTTTTTGTTTAAATGATGCATGAATACACTTCTCTAAACTCTCTTTCCCTTACAAGGCAATATAGGGGCTGGAGGGAGGGGGGAGGTCAGGGTTGTATTATTCAGTGCTCGATGCATTATATATTAAACAACATTAGATTGGTATCACATAACGTGAAAGGGCTAAATTCCCCATTCAAACGTCATGCATTATACCTTGAGATTAAACAGCTTCAGGGAGACATTATCTGCCTCTAGGAGACACACTTCCAAAAGTCAGATCCCCACAGAATAAATGTGAGACAATTTCCATATCAGTACCATGCCACATCAGGCACAAAGTCCAGCGGTGTTCCTATACTTTTTAGTAACCAGTTATCCTTCTCATTGATCAGAAAAGTAGCAGACCCCAACGGAAGATTTCTCATAATTGTGTCCATGATTAAACAACTAACATACACAATAGCAAACGTATATGCCCCTAATGATAAACAGACAGACTTCCTAGCTAATGTCATGACTAAAATAGACAAATTACAACAAGGTATACTCATCCTGGGGGGTGAGTTCAATTGCATCCATGACCCTTTCCTAGACTCAACATACTATAAGGAACCCAAAAGGGTGAAAAAGATGACAAAAGTGGCGAAACATTTAA